TCACCTTATCAGTCTTTGCGCTACCAGGTCGACCTTCTGGAAAGAAGGGTGTGCATTGGTTGACCCAAAAAGAAATGCAATCTGCACATGTCCATGTCTTGATCAACTGCGTTGAAGTTAAACCATATCTTGAGTGAGTTTACCAAAACTTTTTAAACTTATGGTGTGTGTATACCAAACTTATTAAACTTATTGTGTGTTTTTTGTAGGGAATTTAACAATGCCTATTTTCATAGTACCGGGGTACAGTCAACATCAGGTGTCATTCATGCTCAATTTCCCTCATGGTTCAAGCAAACATTGTCTAGCGTTCCTGCACTAACTCCAGAAATACTCCATTTGAGAAACTTGGCAGAAGGCCCTATCCAAAGCGCAAATGATTGGCACACATACTTCGTGAACGGATATAAATTTCACACTGAGGCATGGACCGAAGGGAAAAAAAACCATAAATAGTGGTGTTTTTGTAAAAGGAGTTACAGATGGCGGTGAAGACGACTTCTATGGATTTGTTAAACATATCTACGAGTTGGTATACAATTACTTGGACACGGAAAATAAAGTTGTCTTGTTTTATTGTGAATGGTATGATCCAACTAGAGGCACAAAGATAGACAAGTCATATGGTTCTGTCGAGATTCAAATGAACCGGAGATACAAAGAATATGACCCTTTCATAATGTCACATATTGTTAGGCAAGTTTATTATGTTCCTTATCCTTCATTTGTAATACGTAAAAGAGGATGGTGTGTTGTAATAAAAACAAAACCGCTAGGTCATATTGAAACTGGAGATCTAGTGGAAGATGTTGCCTACCAAGTTGATGACGTTGAACAAATTAATGATGTGGTTGCAGCTGAAGACATTACAACTTTGTCCGATACAACTGTTGAGGGCCTTCAAGTTGATGCGTCTATATTGTTGGTTGATAATAATGTGGATGAAGACAATGATGAAGAGTTTGAATCCGAGGACAATATTACATCGGATGATGAACATGATATGGATAACGAGCATGAAGATTTAGATTAATTAATCACTTAATGTAATATTAATGAATATCTATTGAACATGTATATAGTGAATTTGTCAATGAATATATATTTATGTCAATGACTTTATTATCTTTGTTTATGAAAATATATAACTAGGTAAAATGGCACCGAAGAATAAGGATACCGGTAAGAAGTCTCAGCGTCCGAGGGTAGTAACATGTGAGTCTCCTCACTCAGCCATGTGCCCACCCCCTCAGAGTCAGGTTGATCATATGTCCCTGGCCAGTACTCAGGGTTTTGTCCCATTACTCTCCTCCCATACATTCCCGTCTGGGGTACCTGCATCTTTTGTGCCACCTGGAGGCCCCGGTTTCCTTTTCCCACAGACTCAGATGCCGTCTTCCTTCCAGCATGCAGCAGGATCTAGTTTCCCTTTCCCACCGACCCAGATGCCGTCATCCTTCCAGCAGGCGGGAGGATCTAGTGTTCCTTTCCCACAGACTCAGATGCCATCTTCCTTCCAGCATGTGGGAGGATCTAGTTTCCCTTTCCCACCGACCCAGGTGCCTTCATCTTTCCAGCAGACTGGTGTCCCCTCATCATTCCAGCAGACGGGGGGAGGACCCAGTTTTCCATTTATACAGACTGGCGTGCCTTCATCATTCCAGCAGACAGGGGGACCCACACAGATGTATTCATCCTTCCAGCAGGCGGGAGGGTCCAGCACCCCACACTCCACACACATTGGAGGACCCAGCAGTCCACGTCCGGCACAGGCTGCAGGATCCCGCGCCCCACGTCCTAGACGGACCGGAGGGTCACGCACCCCTCATCCCACACAGACTGCAGGATCCAGCACCCCACGTCCTACACAGGCTGGCGGTGATGCAGATGTCGTACCTGATGATATAGATGGAGCTGATAGTCGTGAGAGATCAGATGATCCGAGTGAGATTCATGTAATTGACGGGAGGTTTTGGATTTGGCCCGAAGGAAGCAAGTAAGTTTCTTATATAAACTTTTATTTAAGTACATATTCATTTTAATATTTTGTATAAATTTATAATTAATATTGTTTATTCAAAATCTTGTTGTTTAGTTTCGCGCCGAGTCGGACGGCTGCCAAGGTTATTAATTATATAATCCAGCAGATGTATAAATCCTCTTGGAAGAACTTTGGCGAGGTTACAAATAAAGAAGAATGGTTTAAAAAATTTAAGGTATTGTTATTTATTTAAGTTGTAAATTTATTATATTTTTTTAGTATTGTTATTTAAGTCACATTTTAATGATAATTGCTTAACTTTTTATTTTAATGTCATACAACATTGCAGGAAAAATGTGTGTGGGATCCGTTGAATGAGAAAATAATGGAAAAAATATATTATAGCAGAACTTCTAGAAGATTTTCTGATATCATGCGGCGGGTTAGGGAGAATTATGAGCTGCATGGTATCCGTCCTAACTGGATAGGCGTAGAGGTTTTTGGCGAACTTCGTACATATTGGAGTTCGCCTGAATTCAAGGCCAAATCTGAAAATTTTAAGAAGATGAGGGCATCCGAAAAGGGGGGATGTGTCAATACTGTTGGAAGTATTAGCACTGCAGAGCATGTCCGGCGGATGGTAAATATTACTAATTTTTTAAGTTATATATATTTTTATTCATAATATTTTTTACTAATTATTTTTAACTTTATTGTTTAGACTAAGGAGATGGGGAGACCACCGTTGATCATTGAGTTGATTACGAGGACTCGGACAAAAAAATCGGGAGGTTTTGTCGACGACCGCACCCAGAAAGCTTTTGTAAGTAATTAAACTTATGTTTTTTTTTTAAGTTAATAACAAAAATAGTGACGTTATTTCCACGTGGCAATCTATAAGTTGTGGCGTGATTATCATGTGGCAACTGATAAATTGCCAGGTGACTGATTTTCATATGGCAACTGATACATTGCCACGGGAAACTCACGTGGCAATTCATAAGTTGATTTGTGAAAATCACGTGACAAATTTTTAATATATTTGAATTTAGTATAATTTAATATATAAATGTTTTAATTTTTTTTTAATTGTATTATTTAATGTATGTGTAGGATGATTATCAGACATTGCTAGCACGTTTTCTGGAACACAATCCGCAATACAGGCCAGCAGAGGGGGAGCCGCTTAATGGGGATGTTGATTTCTATATTTGGAATGAGGTTGTTAATGGAAAAGGGCCTAATGGTTGCTTTTTTGCGGGAGGAAATTTGGCCGCCGGCTTGAGAGTTGGTGATCGTAATCTGTTTCAAAGACTTAGAGATGGAGAAGGGGGGTCACATCAACCCAATCTGACTCAGGTTCAACTTGAAACAGTACGACAATTGGCGGCCAGTGAAGTGAGACGCGAAATGGAGGCCCAAATGACGACAATGAGGCAAGAGCAGGAGCGTCAGTTAGAGATCATGCGGAAGCGGCAATCTGATATGGAGGAGCAGATGAGACAGTTTATGCAAGGCGGTCGAAATCAAAATGTTCCTGATCATACACAGCCGGATGATGACGGACTTGATGACTTTGATCTTGATAATTTTCCGGGTGAAGATGCCCCGTGAAAACATTTTTTTTATTTCGTTTTTATATTTGCATTTATGTAAGATATATTTATTTTTATCATTTTAAATTAATAAATTATATAACATTTAATTATGTGAATTTATTTTATAAAATTCTATTATTCGAAATATAAAATAAAATACTATTATTCTAATAATTTTAATATATAAATTTTATTATATAAAATTTATTATATAAATTTTAATATATAAATTTATTATATAAATTTTATTATTTAAATTTTATTATATAAATTTTATTATTTAAATTTTATTACATTAATGAATTAATATAAAAATTAATTATTAACAATTTTTTAAAAAATATAAACGTCCCCTGTAGCGACGTGGGAATCATGTCACAAATTAGTGACATGATTCTCACGTCGCTAATAAAGCTGTCATTATGTAATATGTAGCGACGTGAATACCACGTCACAACTTTGTGACGTGGGAATCACGTCGCTACTTGCTTGCCACTTACTCCCCAGCGACATAACTCACCACGTCGCTAATTTTGCCTTGCCACGTGATTTTGATGTTTGCCACATGATTTTCACGTGGCAACTGAGCTTCTTTTTTGTAGTGCCTTCTCTCACTTTTAAAGAGCACGCGCCATCTCACTTGGCTAAAAGAGAGAGGAGGCGTCAAGTGAGATGGCGCCTAGGGCAAAAATGCTGGTGGAGGCGCCAAGTGAGATGACTCCTCCTTTTAGGAGTAATCTGAAACATGATTATTTGCGTAATTTTTTCCAAAACGTGGTTATTTGCGAATTTTTTTTTAATACCTGATTATTCAAAAAATAATTCCCAATAATAACCACTTTTTTATTGAAACACATTTAATGTGCCACTCATAATATATCTTTTAATTCCAAAAGAAAAGAAAATTGAATTTTTCGTTGCCAATTTAATGATTAGTCTCATAACAAACTCAAACGACTTAAATTGTAAATCAGTTGTATGACATTTTTTTACTATATTTGTTTTTTTTTACTATATTTAGTTTAATCATGACAAAATAAATATAGGTCTTATTTAGCTATAATATGAACTATAAAAAATATTTTATAAAATTTAATTTAAGTATAATTTCATCGTGACAAATTTTACTCTCTATAATAATCTGTTTTTGTACATCTTCAACGATGTTCTCACGATCTTCATTATAAAAATACTTTAGAACATCAGATACCAAAATAATATTTTAGAAAAGTTGAACAACATCATTGATTCAAGGTATAACAAAACATATTTGGAAACAAAATATTTTAATAGAGCAACATCACTTTCATATTCTTACTCTTATGGTGAATATATATTTTCTTTCATATATTTTTACAAAATTCACCACTTATATTTTCCCTTATCATATCATATAAGCATAATTCATATCAATGTCTTCATCACTTGGAGTGACACTCTGCCTCTGAGAGCCCAACTTGCCTAGCCAACTGCATAAAAGGAGAAAATAAGCTTTAATTAATATACAACAAATTAACAATACATCTTGTAAAAAAATAATAAAAAGTATTACATATTTACCTGAAAATAAGCTTCAAGTTTCTTTTTTAGTGAAGCATATTCTTTCTTTAATTGATGGAAACTCTTCATGCATCTATATATTCAGACAAGAATACTAGTATCATTTTTTAAAATTAAAATTTACAAATTGAATAACTAAAATATCAATTTATTTATTTAATTTAAAAAAAAAAATGAAGAAAATAGTTTACCCTTCAATATTTACTGCACTGCAATATTCCCTAAACAGATTGCACTCAGCTTTCACCTTTTTGGCTCCAATGCTACAACAAATTATAATAAAAGAATTATATAATTAGGGTTATTAAAATATTATTAATTGTTACTATAATTTTTATTTTAGGCAATCTTATGTGTCTACCTTGAACTACTTCCTGTGAACTGATGCATAAGGGTGTCCAGTTTATTGAAATCCAACATGTTCCTCTCTTTTCTGTATATATAATTTGCAAAACAAAAGGTGAATTTTAATCATATAGTAAAATTAAAAGAAAAAGTTATCATGAAAGTACAAAGAATGGTGAAATGGATGAACTTACAAAGCTTGTTCTATGCTTGAAATAAGGCGTAGTGAATCACGGTAGTAAAGAGTGACAATTTCTTCGACAAAGTTAGGATTAGCTTCGTCTTGTAGTTCTTCTAGTTGGATAAATTGTTCATCAAGCAATCCCTAAAAAAAAAAAATACAAATGAGACAATTATAATAAAACAAATAAACTTAATATTATATCGATTATGAAAAACACACAATAAATTTGAATATACATATGATATGAATGTATTAATCGGATGATATACGAGTTCAATAAGAACGAGATCGTACCTGATCAAATAAAGATTGTTTCATTATCACAAGTTGCCTATGAGAGTGATTGTTTTTCTCCATTTGATAAATAAGAGCTTAATATTGTGATTGAATTGGGAGAATTAATGCATGGTAGTTTAAGAAGAAAGAAGTTGATTTTATAGCATAAAAAAGATGTTACACGTGTCTAGAAACTAACAAGTGAGAAGCTTGAGAGTGGTGTGGGGCTGGTTACAAATTCGAATATTTTGCATTGCATGCATTATGTTTTAGACATTTGGGAGTGAAATGAAATATCTCAATGTAAAGGGAAAAGGACCACTTTCATCTATCTATCTATCAACCACTAATGGGAGAGTATATTATATTCGTCTTCAATCATAGTTTCTGTAAAAGTGAGAATGATTAATTATGTTTAAAAGAAATAAAATAATATAAATAAATAGATTAAAGTAAATTAATAAATAATATAAAAAAATAAATATTATCAAATAATAAATTAATATAACTTATCATATTAATAAAATGTAAACAAATATAAAATATATACATTCAATTTAGTTCGGTTTAAATTAGTTTTAAAAAATTAATTCAAAATTCAATTTAAACCCGACGAATTTTATAAAGTCACATTCAAATACATTCAATAATTTTTTATTTTTAAAATCAATTTAATTTTTTATTTAAATCGATTTGAATTCTATTAAAAAGTGTATGTGAAAAAATAATCAAATAAATAAGTCTTCTTTTAAAATAAAATATATTGTTTAAAATGAGTGAGTAAAATCTACGAAATCTAATCTGATAAAATCTTCAATATTGTATAAATAATGGATACATACAAGAAATCTTTTTAATAACATTAGAGATTAAAAAATTTCATCAATAAAAAATAGAATGAAAAACACAAATTAAATAACACTTCTATAAAATATGAATATTTCAAAACACTTTGAAAAATTAAAATTGTTTAAAAATATATAAATATAATAAACTAAATGATAAAAAAAAGCATATTTAATTTATAATTTAAACTGACAAAACTTATTTCAAACTCATATATAACTTACCTCTGTGGTATTGTTTGTTTTAAAGATTAAAATCATTTTTAATAGCAAGATAAACTACAAAACATTATCCAAAATATTATTATGCTAATCTAATTTAAGAATTAATTTTAACATTAAATAATTTCAATCTCTTATCAATCGGAGTAATGGAGATTAAATTGTAGTATTCTTTATCAAATTTATTATTAACTACTATTGAACTAACTAACTATACACACAGTGAAACTATATTTAAATTAAAAAGTTTATGGAAGATTTTCGTCCTGTTTTAATAGAGATTAAACATTTATGTTTCCATGATTGACGGAATTTCATTACCAAATTTTGTTTGTTTATTATTTCCAATGTGGTTTATGTTTCATTTATTTATCTCTACCTCATGCAATTTTCTGTTTGTTCCTTTTTTTCATAATAGTTTTTTTTATTAATTTTTTCTTTTATTTTACATTTATTTTCTTTAAAGGAGAAAAAAAATTGAAAAAGTTTTTTTTATTAATTTTTCTTTTTATTTTACATTTATTTTCTTTAAAGGAGAAAAAATAATTGAAAAAGAAGATTCAAGTTCCATTTTATACTTGTTTGTAGAAGTATATATATATATTTGAAATTTTTTATAAATATATCACATTTTTTTAATTTTAATACTAAACTATCATACTTTTCTAAATAAATTCTAAAATATCTTGTTTTTTTTTATAAAATAAAATTTAAACAAAACCGCTAATTGAATGAACGGATACTTTAATATTTTTTTTTTAACAATTTTTTATTTCCTACAGATTTTGTTAGGAACTTTTCAACTTATTTGCGGATTTCTCTGCGGAAATTTACTATAGATTTTTCTATACATAATCTTTTCATAGAGTTTCTTTTGAATTTATTTTCGAATTTTAATAATTGTATTACAGAAAATCATATATGTAACAAATTCACAGGTAATTTCATAAGAGTATTATATGTTATAGATTCTGTAGAAAAATCTACAGATAAATTTATAGATGATTAAAAAAATTTTAAAAAAATAACACAGAACCACCAAAGTAATGAGCGGTTCTTCAATAACAATTTTTTTAAAAATATGATAATTTAAAATTTAATGAGAAAAAAAATAATATTTTAGTGAATAATTTATAAAAATGTGATATATCTATAAAAATTTCTATATATTTTCCTTTCTAATTAATTAGGTAGTTGATCAATCAATTTGTACCAACTTATTCAAAAGTGTGTACATGTGTTTCTTTTTTAAGTAGAGATTTCTGAAAAAGTTAAGTTCCCACTCAAGGAGAATGTAGAATATTTGTTTATTATCAAGTGAATAATTAATGAACAAATAAAACTTTTGATGTGACTAATAAAACTTTTACTACTATTTTCTTTAATTATATATATATATATATATATATATATATATATATATATATATATATATATATATATATATATATATATATATATATATATATATATATATATATATATATATATATATATATATATATATATATATATATATATATATATATATATATATATATATATATATATATATATATATATATATATATATATATATATAATTTTAACTTCAATTTATCTATCACTAACCGTTTTATAATAATTTACATTTTCTTTTAATTGTATTATTTTATATCATATAATTAAAATTAAAATTAAAACTTAATAAAAAATATTATTAATATTTCAAGGGTGTATATTCTAAAAATAATAATAAACAAATACAAGAGTGTATGTATTTTTATAAAGCAACTATATTTCAACAAAATTATGTTCGAGAAAAAATAAATTATGGAGAAAAAACATAAACCAAATAACAACATAAGGATATAACGTGAAAATTTCAAAATCGGAAAAAAAAATTATGACCATTGTCAAATGATAACTAGAGAAAAATATTATGCGAGAGTTATTATAACACATAGACTATCTTCAACTACCCCAAAGTCCCAATATATTCTCGCACTTTTCAAAGCAAATATTTAACTACCTCTCAACACTCTAATACATGAGTATAAGAGAACAAAAAAAGTCAAATACAAGTTTAAAGTACTTTTGACTGGTACATCTTGTAACGAAAAACTTGAATCCTATGTATAGTCTTGGACTCTCTCTTCCTTCACAAAACTAAGCGATGTGAGACTTAGAAGAACTTGAGTCTTATATATAGTTTTGGACTCTCTCTTCTTTCACAAAACTAAACAACGTGGAACTTATTCAACATGTATATTTTCAACCAACTCCAACAATCTTCACCTTGATTGAAAATAATACACTAACTTTAATTGTCTTCGTAGATAAAAATGCCTCGATTCCATGAGTATAGACCCTATGACATGTATATATGCATATGAAGATGAAGTATAAGCCAACTAGGGTCAAAATGAAGAGGGCGGATTTTGGGGTACAACAATGATGTTCCAACATCTTTTCCAACATCATTCCCAGTCTCATAGATTTCACCCTTAACTATGGTTCTGGAGATAACCCCATAGTAATCCATACATCATTCTTGAATGAACCATAATAGAATCAACCATCAATAGCTGAATACCCTTTAAGACCATATCACAAATACATGCAGTATATAACACACCTCAAGGACCATCTTATAAGCACAATGTCCAGACCACCTGTTTGACTTTGAGGTGTTTGATCATAATTCTTCTGCCTAAAGAGGGGATTCCCTCTAGGAAGATTACAACATATAGGGTTTTGTATGATCATCAACCCTTCAAAAAGACTATCCTTGAGTACCTCTCCTTCACCTAATTCTTCTGAACAACTCATCATGACTATAAGTTAATCTTCCAAAATATCATCTTACCTTAGGTTGATGCATCTCCATTGCACACAACCCATCGAGTGTCTCTTCCATTTTAGAAGAATACGATTTCCATGTTCTCATAGACTTGATAGTAGATATCAAGTTTGAGTAAACAACCTCCATCGTATTTGAGAGAAACACTAGTCAAACACATAAATTCTCAATACAGGGATGTCAAAACATTATATCTGACATCTCTTCAAGAATCTTTAACTCCAGATTTGAGACTCTTCTTCATTAGCTGCTAGGAACCACTTAGAAAATTATACATCCTCCTCCTTAATAGCATCACAGTATGTGGTTAGTGCATATTGTAACACGGTGGAAGAACGGACTTGGTTGTTTTACGTTTGATCGTAAATGTTACGGTTAGAAAGAGTCGCCACCGACTTTTCTTTTATCCAAAAGGAAAGGCTGAAAAGAACAGGAAAGACCTTTGATATGTTTTCTTGAGTTCGGGAGGTAGATTATGAAAAGGGAAGGTATTAGCACCCTTTTCATCCGTAGTTATCTACGGGCTCTTAGTTGCTTGCTAGATCACTTTCTTTTGTTTGAAAATGTGCTTTGTATGATGGGTTTTGAAAGTATTTTGAAAATGTCTTTGTAATGGTTCTCGTTTCTATAAGAACGCGTATAAAGTGTTGTTTCGAAAATAGTTCAAAGAGGTGTTCGTGTTTTTGAAAGTGATTTTAAAAAGGTGTCTTCTTTGTAATGGCTCTCGTTTCTATAAGAACGCGTACAAAGTGTTTTTCTTTTGAAAATGTTTCAAGTTTGAAAGATGTTTTGAAAGTGTTGGTGTTTGTTTTGAAAATAGAAAGGATGTTTTGGTTTAAAAATGAGCAAGCAACTTAGGAACATTCTACCTACTCAAAAGTCTTTCTTGTTTATTTCCTCTTTCCTTTGACATTGTTATCTAACCATGGATTGGTAAGTAACTCTATCTTTGAATGTAAAAGGGACGGGCATGGGTCATCGTATAACCATGATGAGCAATGTTGTAATATATCTTAGCATTTTCTTTAAGGGACTAAGATCATTTTGAAAGGCAACTTTTGATAGCGTCATCGAGGGACTATGATCTTGTATTTTGTTTTTTTTTATAAGACACCTCACATGCATAATATGTCCATTTTTGTAAGGCAACAAAGTGGATTTATCCTAGGGGT